CCTCCTCATCTGCAACTGCTCCACCGTTAGTCCGTCAAAAAATGTCCTGGGTCCTTGGTCCCCCCCCCCCCTTGACACCCTCTCTCTTAGGGAACTTGCCCACTTCTGTAGTCTTAGTTATCAAGTTACGTGAGAATTCCCAAAGCTTTATTTCCACCCTGATCTCTTTGCTACATATCAGGAGGGGCTCCCCAACTGTACCATCTACACCTGGGTCAAAATTCAGCTCACCCAAGACTGAATGTCATTCTCTCCCACTGCTACCTCCTAACCTATCTCTTCCCAGATTTGCCAATGGCTGGACTCACTCTCCGGGTTCCTGGATGCACCACACCACAGGTAGTGAACAGGAGAGGAAGCAGCAACTCAACCAGCCACTGAGTCCTATCCCTGCCTCTGCTGCTGCCTGCTGTCCCCTGGCCACCACCCTGGTTTGGACATGATCACCCCACACCTGTCTGATTGCAGCCATCTCCTGGATAGGCTTCCTCACTCCTTCCTCCACCTGCTCAGTAACCCAACACACCATCAGCAGATGCATTTGCATGGAATGCTATTTTCCATAGATTGCTGTCTACTGCATTCAAATTCTTCAAACTTTCTCAAGTGACCGAGGAATATTTGGGCTCCTTTACCTGGTGAGCACGATCGCCACAACCTCAATATGAACCCAGCTCTGCCACATTTTTCTTCCACCACACTGGGATACAGAGCAGACAGACCACTCGCAAGCTTTCATTGTGCCTTCTTTTGCAAAAAGCGTCATAAATATTAATCATAAATGTTGGTCGAATGGATTGCTTCTCAAACCATCCTTGGCCACTGAAATGTCCCATTCCTCCTTTCTGAGTTTTACTCCTTCCAGATCATGCTATTTCCTTAGTAACAGCGACAGTTGCTGTCATTTACCAAGCTCTTGCTACATGCCAGGCATTAGACGAAGCACTCTGCGAGCACTTGGCTCATTTAATCCTCAAATCCTATATTGGTGAAACTACCGTGGTCCCCACTTTACAGGTGAAGGAACTGAGGCATGAGTAAATTAAATAACACACCCCAGGTCACACGGTAAAATAGGTAATTCTGTTGCCAAAGTCTGAACTCTTGCTTGATCTCTGGAGCACACTGTCGATGTTCTCGTCTCCGATGTTCTCGTCTCCTCCAGAGATGTGTCTTTCTCCAGACTGCCCTGCGAGTCTCTGCCGTGCAGGTCCTTCTGCAGTGCTCTTGTGAGTGTCATAGCACAACATCGTCATTAGGCAGGACTCAGGTCAGACTGTCTGAGCTGCAGTCTCGACCACACTAGTCGCTGCTTTTGCGTGTCTCAGGCAACTTACTTACAACCGGGTGTCCCTTCATCAGTAAGATTGCTACTATAATAGCACTTGCTGTATAGGTTACTGAACAACTAACTAACTGAGTTAACAGTCTTTGTAAAGCACCAAGCCGCATGGCACATAGTAAGTGCTCAGCAAATATTACCAGTTATTATTAAAATTCCCAATGCCTGTGTGTTGCCTCCTGTTATGAGTGTGAGCTAACTGGGGCACCTGGGTGGCTCAGTTGGTTAACAGTCTGCCTTTGGCTCGGATCATGATCCCAAGGTCCTGGGATGGAGCCCTACATTGGGCTTTCTGCTTACCAGGGGAGTCTGAACCTCGGCCTTTCCCCCCAGTTCATGCTCTCTCTCTCTTAAATAAATAAAATCTTAAAAAACAAACAAACAAACAAACAACAACCAAAAAAAAAAAAAATGCGTGAACGTTAGCTAAAGGAAAGGATTCTCTGCCTCAGTAATTCCCTAGCACTTAGCAAGTCTACCCAGCACAAATGTTTCCTCCAAACTCTGCCTCTGAAGTTTTCACTTACAGGATGATTTTTAGGAAATAGGCAAGATGTCAGTTATCGAACCTTCAGGACCGGAAATCATGCAATGTGAGTTGAAACACCGAGGGGGTAAATAACTTGTGAATTCATAGTGTACCTACAGCCCATGCAGATATTTTGGTCAACAAGCCTTCCTGCACCATCTACTATGTGCCAAAACTCACAGGCACCGGGGACATGGACTTAAGCTGAGAGAGCCCTTCCCAGCACTCTCTACACGGGACACAAACATGACAGCAAGGACCCACACTAGCTTGAACTATATTGAGAGATGTTGGTGGGGAGGAGAGAGGATTCTAGGGGCACGTTTTATGATTTAAAAACAACCCTGATTTATTGTCTATCCATATGTAGATCAGTCCAGAAAGTGGCAGATCACACAAAGGATAATTAGTATTTCAGTCTTTCTTCTCTTTCTGGGGATTGGGACACTCATGTTAAAGTCACATGGAATAAAATGGATGGCCCCATAATCATCTGGCACTAGACGAGCACATCCTGTTTACCTAGAACATTTAATCTGGGTTTTGAAAAATCTGCAAGGACCAGTCTATTTGCAGTGAAGTCAGGGGTGTGGCATCTCCCTTGTCGGGGAGCTGGAAAACTCTGCATTCTCATGTGTGAGTGTGAGATGGGTCTGCTTCTGTCGTAGGCAGCAGCAGCCAGAATCTTAATACGCATTGCTCACGTGCTCACAGCGCGGGCACTCCCGGCCCCAGCTTCTCGGCACACGAAGAAGGGTTGCTTCTGTTTCTCCAATTAGCCACTTTATCTCTTACATCTAGCTATATGAGAGAATTACTTCAGAGATTAAAAAATATATACAATGCCCAGAGATTCTGATTTCGTTGTTCCAGGGATGTGTCTAGGCATTTTTCTTTTCTTGTTCATTTCTGGGGTGATACTAATGGACAGCAAGTGTTGGAATCCGCAAAAATCTGGTCCAGGCAATAGTTTGATCTATCTACAGAATTCCAGCAAACCTGGGAATCCATGTTGCTCCAGAGCTGACAGGATCTAGCCAATCAGTTAATTCTCTATTAAACATGCTTCCTATCCTTATATTACTACCCAAAAATGGGGTTGGAAAGCCAGAGACCTGGGTTTTTTCCTTATCTTGGTGCCCCCAAAAGATCCATTGTGTGATGCTGGGCAAACCACTTGGTTTCTGAAACTTTTATTTTTGTGTTCCATAAAACGAGATAGGACATCTGCTTCCCCTGTGGTGGAGTGAAAGAAGGGGCTGGTCTCTGCTGGAGCTGGTGCCCTGGCGTACAATGAAGAGGTTAATTGGATTAGCCAGGCCTGGGAGAGAAATTCCGGCAGACAAATTTAACAGGAGGCTTAAGAAGCACTATAGAATGTCCAAATTCGGCAGGGCCAAGTGGCCTTCTTGTTTGGGTTAGAGAAACCTTGAGAAGGCCAAGAAATTACCAAAAAACAACTGAAAGTATTTTGTAATTACTCTTGGATTTGACAGTGCCTATATGTAACTTCTTTCCAAACCTTCTCTCTCCATGACCCATACCAACTTGTTCATAGTGATTTTTAATTCGTCACTCGTCTCATAACATTGTATGGGGGAAAAAAAAAATGAAAGGCCCCTTTTTTACAGAAGGCTAGAAGAGGTAGAAAGTGAACTTATCTGTTAAAAAAAAAAGTTATCATCCATTATATAAAAAGGAAATCTCTCCCACCCTATCCTATCTTCCCTGGATGAACCACTTAATCTAAGTAGCTTCTAGTTAGCTACCTAGCTACCCATTCATCCATCTATCTAATTCACTTTCCTCTCCTGTCCTTTCCTCTCCTCTCCTCCCCTCCCCTTCCCTTCCTTTCCTTTCTTTTTCATCTTTCATTTCCAAAACAAGGCTGCCTTTGATGGCCTTCAAGAGAGGGCCAAACCTCCAGTTGGAAAATCTAGAGTTTAATCCATGGGGGAACTATTATTATTACTTGATGAGGCCAAAATCAACACAAAAGTAATAATGATAAAAATGAGTAAAACTCTTTCAGACTTGTCTAAGTGCTGAAAGTGCTGTTCGTACCCTCCCTTTGTCATTTTATCTTTGAGTGAGAGAAGGTGCTGTTAAAGACAGGTAAGTGAATCTGACAGTGGGAATTTATTGTACTCTGTGCCCTGGCTTGTCCTGAGAGCTGAGAAGACAGAAATAACTGGGAAGATGCACAACACACTATTGATGGGGTATTTGAGGGGAGGAGAAGAAAAGAGTGGGTACTGGAGAGCATGAGACATTGTTACAGCAGGAATATATTCATGTGCTACTGGTATCATCCGAACATGAAAGACCAAAAACCCGAGCCCTTCATGAAAGGAAAAACTGAGTGCCAGTGAAGTGGCATAGGCTGGCTTTCTACAGAGCATAAGAAAACATGGTTTAAGCAAGCAACACTTCAGAGAGACTCTCCTCCTTCTAGAACGCTCAAGACAAGTCTGCCCATCTCCCAAAGCCAGCACTTTTCTTATCTTCCTTCCTAGCACTGACTGTAAACTCTTCCCCTCCGTCATGGGTGAGAAAGGACTGCTGGACACTTTGGAGATCACCCCTTGTCCCGGTGACTGCCTGAGAGCTGACAGAGTTCACAGTGTAGCCTCTTGCTTTGTCAGCACAACCATAACATGGCTGCCTGGCCATGGACACGCTCATGGCAGCGTTCATGAATGCTCTCGTCTATGGTATTTTCTGGCTCAGGGATGGGAAAATTCATTGAACAAAAAAAACAAAAAACAAAAAAACAAAAACGAAAAAAGGAAAGAAAGAGGAAAAGAAAAGAAAAGAAGGAAAGAAAGTAAGAAAGAAAAGGAAAGAGAAAGAAAGCTCTTTATTATAGAGGAAACCCTTAAAAGATGCCATTTGGTTACGGGATACCCAGTCTTCCTAAACACAGTCTCATCAACTTGGCCAACAGCCTGCAAACGCTCTTGACCAAATATGCTTTACGCAGGCAACATCCATGTCACAGCCACACAGAAGGAAATCAGGCAAAGAGGATCAGAACTGGGCGATGTCTTAAAAGAAGTGTGTAAGTGACTGAGGTGCCCCTGAGGTCTTGCTACAGAGGGAGGTGAACCACAGCAGAAGACATGTTACCTGTCCGCCACCGCAGTCCCCAGGCTGGCTTCTGCTCTGATCAGACGCCTAAAACCATCCAGGTTTCCCCTATGAGGCCATCTGCCCCACGGTCTCCAAGAAAACCTATACCCGGTGAAGGCAAAGCCGAGCAGGATTCATTGTGAGGGCTCAGGCAGGACTGGCAGCTCCGTGCCGGGCTCAGCCTCACCGCTCTCCCGCGCCTCCCCTGCCGTGGTCCTCTGAGCCTCACAGCGCCATCCGTGAGAGGCTCGCTGCTGTTTGAAAAACAAGAAGTGATTTCCTGGTCCTCTTCCCCGGATGGCGTGTGCGATTTCCCTTACGCCCATGGGAAGTCCTTCAGATCCTTCTTATCTGGAAACCTCTCCACTGAGTGGCCAGACTTGTTTGGCCAATGCCCCTAGTCCTTGCTTTCCTTTCACCAAAGAAAAAATGAGGAAAATGAAACCAAAGCAAACCCCAAATGGGTTAGGGCTAAGGGGGTGGTGTAGGATGCCTTGTTTAGACCTTCCAAAGATGTTCACTAAATTGGATTGTGTTTTCAGAGTGGGAGGAAAACAATGATGAGTCCTTGTCTCTGGCAGTGTCAAGAAGTCAGAAAATTAAAAAAAAAAAAATCCCCAGCAGAGTATGAGAAGACCTAGAACTGTCATTAGCCCTAGCCCTGGGCTTTAGAGAGAGCTGCCCTTCAAATCTGCCACATGAAGGGGATGGCTGGTTCTCTCAGATTTCTGGGAAAACTCTATGGTTATTTATGCTTCAAAGGCTGTGATGCTTAAAACATCATCTTAATAACAACACTAATATTTCAAGGTAAGAAGAAACATGGAAGATGGCCAGTTGGCAGACGGCAATCAGATTGATGGGTTTAAAGATGAATTGTAATCAGAGATTTTTAGCTGGAGGTGACCTACCCATCCTCATTTTACATGTCAGGAAACTTGGATCCAAGGAAAAACGGTGATTGCCCCAGGTCAGAACACAGATGAGAAGGAATAGAGTATCATTCACTCGTTCTTACATGTTAGTGTGGGCAATGGTCAGTTTCCTACTCCGGACCCTGGCCCCACAGGGAAGTTGACGAAATCTGCCTTGCAAGTAAGGGGTTCAGGTGGGTCTGATGCTGGCAGTCCTCAGACTGTGTTTAGAGAAACCCCTGAAACGTCAGAGCAAGGACTCCAGTGTCAGACTAGGGGATTCAAACTATAGCCCCACGGGTTTCTATTTATGCGGCCTTTTACACATTACAACGCTTCCCTGAGACTTGGTTTATTTTGTGTGAGAGTAGATAACAGGCCTGCTGAGTTTACAGGTTCCAGTGCGATCCTGGCAGAGAGGAGGAGCTCGAGAACTCTTTGGGACTCTCTGGGGACCTGGGCTCTAATACTACAAGCTCATACTCTTGTCCTGTTTCACACCACCTCTCTCTCCTTTTAGCCCACCTTTCCATTCGGTCAAAGCTCTCACCCTTAGGCATGTTGACAACTGCCAGTGGTACTCAGGCTTGAGATGGAAGTTAAGAATTTTGACAAAAAAGAGGACGACCCTTCACAATGTCATTCCAACTTCTGGGGCTGATTCTCAAATGCACTCTATAGTTCATTCCATGTCCTGGTTAGGACTTGGGTGGACGGTTAGGCAGTCAGGGCCAGGGTCCCCAGCAAGAAAATACAGAGCCAGGACAGCTAATATCAAACAGCACTGACAACCTGTTTGCAGCTCAGACAGGAGCGCACTAGCATTTTGCTTTGCAGCCTTTGCAGAAATGACTTCTGCAAAATGGCCTAAAGTAAGACAGTTAACCACAAGGCATTGGTCAATATCATGGGCCTGGAGCAGTTAAGACCCAAGCCACCAGCTGTCAGCAAAAAAGACCATCAGCATGTTGACAGGAACCTAACAATTAAACAGATACGTGGCCAAAGCTCTGACTGGTACAACTCAGCACGCCCTGATTGCTTAAGACAGTTCTGCAAAAGAGCTCACAAAAACCCGTAAACTTAGAAACGCCAGGGGCAAACCTCTGGGCCCCCCTTCCTCTCCAGGAGCTTTGTGCTCTTACTCAATGAACTCTGCTTTGCTGCCCGCCACTCTTCGTCTGGTCTGCCTCTTCTTTCTTCACAGCGGCGTGACCAAGAACCATGGGCACTGAAGGCAGAGAAATCCTACCATATCGTCACCGGGAGATGTGGTATTTGCCCACCCCGCTGACTCCCCACTTCCTCCTTTCTGCCTGCCCAAAGTCTGGCTGGGGAACCCACGGAAGGCAGCCTATTCCCTAGGGTCTGAGGGCATCGTGCTTGGTCTACAACACGCTGATCTCCTTCTCCTTGCTGGGCAGTGGCCTGTGCTTGGATGTGAGGCCGACTGTGGTTGCTCATTACCTCCGGATTTACCTTTCAGGGCACAGTAAAAGTCCTTATTATGTTCCAGTTCCAGTTGGGGTTTCTGTTGTTTGTAGCTAAAAGCTAAAAATAGTAATGTGGTGAATCACAATGAAGAATAAATCTTTTGAGTCTATATAAAATACTACTCTTGGCCTAAAAAAAATATGAGGAAGAGCATTAAAACACATACACACAGAGCCAGATGGCTTAAATCACATTCTGAAATACTCCAAAAATAATTTCCCATGCTAGATATTGGAGATATTAACTTATTTTTCTATAGGAAATGGACAAAGATGCCTTAGATTCTTTTTTACATTAAAAATCTACAATATTGGTGTGCCTGGGTGGCTCAGTTGGTTAAGCGACTGCCTTCAGGTCAGGTCATGATCCTGGAGTCCTGGGATAGAGTCCCACAATGGGCTCCCTGCTCGGCAGGGAGTCTGCTTCCCCCTCTGACCCTCTCCCCTCTCATGCTCTCTCTCTCAAGTAAATAAATAAGATCTTTTTAAAAAAATCTACAATATTAGGGACTCCTGGGTGGCTCAGTGGGTTAAGCCTCTGCCTTAGGCTCAGGTCATGATCTCAGAGTCCTGGGATCGAGCTCTGCATCGGGCTCTCTGCTCAGCAGGGAGCCTGCTTCCCCCTCTCTCTCTGCCTGCCTCTCTGCCTACTTGTGATCTCTCTCTGTCTGTCAAATAAATAAATAAATAAAATCTCTTTAAAAAAAACCTACAATATTAAATATAAATAGTGGAAAAGCACCCAAGTCTTGAAAACCTTGAGGAGCCTGGGGTTGAGAGTATGGACCCCGGATCTGCCCACCATTAGCTCCGGGGAACTTCAACAGGTTACTTAATCTTTCTGTGCCTCAGTTTCCTCATTGGTAGAATTAGAGTAAGAATAGTACCTACTTCAGGATCCCTGTGAAGATTAAAATGCTTGTAACAGTGCCTGGCACCTAGGGAGCAGGTGTAAGTGTTGGTTATTGTTACCTCTGTGGAAAGGAAATTTTGTGCGGTAATAATATGGCTACCTGTATGGATTTGACCGTGTCTTCGCCTTTGCCTTCTGCCAGGTTTGCCTCTGGTTCAGCAGAGATTGGCCCTTTGAAGATGCCTTTGAAATATGTCTTGTCTTTGGCATAAGATTGGTTCCTTTGGGGGTAACTTGCGTGGATTAGGATAAATGTAGATAAATCACACCGGCTGTGTGGGGGAGGAATGAAGAAAAACCAGGAGGTCACTGGACATTAATGTGGTAGTAAAGGACACTAAAAGAATTTTGGGGGAAGATCTCTTTGGAAAAGTAATTGTAGGATAGAACTAAATGCCCCATGGCCAGTTAGAAGGCACTGGAGGAGAAAGAGAAATTCTCAGATCTTGGTACTTAAAAAGGAGTAACAATGTCAGGGAGCTTGATATCCAAGTCTTTTTGTTCCTCTTTTTGTAAATACTAAGGTCTTGCCTGAAGAAACACCTCAGATCAGAGTGAACTCCAGGACTCACTGCTCTGAGATTTCGTGCTTGGGTTGGGTTGTGGGTGGGCTGTGGGCGCAGCTGGCTCTCGGACATGGAACGGGTTGTTGTCAGGGTGGCTGTCCCTTCGCTTCCCTGAAGAGCAATTCCTCTCTCACCCACGGTCCCGTTTGTTGCTAGGAACACTCTGTGCTGGTCCCACTCACTTTACAATGAAAACAAAGACAAATAAAAAATGGAACCACCATATGGTCTCGGCTGCAACCCAGAATTAGCTGCTGATGGGGAGACTTTGCCCTGTCATGCCTGAGGCTTCCAGTGGCTCTGTCAGAGGCCCTTCTCCTGAATTCTAAGATGTTGGAGTCAGTGGCACGTCAAACCCAAGCTTCTTTGACCAGAATGCGGTGGTGCCTTCAGAGGAACTAATGCACCAGTCATGTTATACATGTTTGTAGGCGCGACCAGTCTCTTAGGACTTGAGCGTATCCCCTCATTCCACACAGAGCTGTTTTCTCAGACAGAAATGTTGGCACCAAATTAATGTGTATTTCCAGCATGTTCCAGGCTGTTTCACTGCCCAGCCCTTCCCTCTTGCTCACCTTTGTAACTTTTAGTCTCCTTTTAAGTTATAGGTGTTATTTCTTCCAAGGACCTTCCTATCCCTCCCAGTCTGGGACAAGCGTTCCTTCTCCCTGGACCCATAATTCAAGGTCCATGTTTTTTTTTTTTTTTTTTTTTGCAGTTACCACACTGTATCCAAATGATTATTTTAATGCATTGACTGTAAGCACCTTGAAGGCAGGGACTAGTCTTATTTATTGTATGCTTAGCAACTAGTATCCTGCTGACATATAGTAGGTGATCAATAAAAGCAAAAAGAAAATGAAAGTGCTCCATCTCATCCATTGCTGGTTCCCTCTGTTAATATTGGTGTGTCCCATGGCTCAGTCTTTGCAACTCTTCTTTGTTGATACTAATTTCCCAGGTGAGCTCCAGCATGGTTTCAAACTTTGTGCTGATAACTTCCAAATGTACGTCTCTATCATGGACCTCTCTCCTGAATTCCTGACCCATATCCAACTGCCTACTTGATATCTGCCTGCTTGGATATTCAGTAAGATCTCAAATTGAATGTGACCAAAACTAAGGTCCTGATCTGCCCTCCCAAACCAGCTCTTCTAACCATCTCTCCCATTTTAGTAAAGGGCATGGCCATCCTTCCAGGTTGCCCAGACCACAGCTCTGAGGGTCATCCTTGAGCTCTCCCTGTCATCAAATCCCATCATCTCTACCTTCCAAATATGTGCATGACTGGGCATTTCTTACCCCTTCCATTACCATCATTCTCGTCAAGCCATCATTATCCCTTGGCTGCATTATTATTATGGCTTCTAATTGGTCTCTGTGCAAGACCAGAGTTAGAATGGTCTTCATAAAAGGTACACTGTGTGAGGTTAACCTATACTCACCTCACACAG